TTTCTCGAAATTCCTTTTAAGTGAAAGTTGTCGGTTTGATAATCTTTGACCGCTTGAAGAGAGCGACACTAAACTTATCACAAGTGACTTCGTTTCAATGAAAAACGCTCTTTACTGTAATATGAAAAAACCTGCGCTATTCTTTACTAGGGCGTTCTACTACTCTAAAACTCGAACTTTTACTGCTTAATATTAATGGCCAGAGTTCTATCGTTCAAGTGTGGTCTTCCACTAATAATATCTGTGCCATCCTAGCATTGTCGTCTGCAAACTTGCTGTTATTTATGGTCGGCTTTAGCGGTCGCTAACCTCTTCCCGCAGATCTTCATGAACTAAGGTTTTCTTTCGTCATGTTCCTCAACATCAGATTGCCTATGCTTTCATTTCACTTAATTTCATTTTGTTGAGTACCACTCATGCTGATACTGGTTTTGGGAACGTATCACAACGGTAGTGGGTTTTGGACGAAGCCCTAACTTTGGGCAAGAGGTTACGCCATGACCACTTGCTCGGAAAGTGCATGTGCCAATTCGGATTCCGTCCGTGACTTGAAGTTCTACCCATAACTGAGCTGCGAAACGTTGGTTTCTCGAGAATTACTCGCCAACTTTATGACAAAACCTATTTTTTGCTTTCATTGTATCTGTTTACCAAGTGTTTTGTTTTCCAAATGTTTTTTCACCCGATCAGTATGCCAGAATAGATTACGTTAAGAGCACTGGTTATAAACCTAGTTCCGCGATTCCGCGTCCAACAGTACCCAACAATCAGTCGATAGTTTCAAAGTGGAGCGAGTTCAAGTTGACTGGGCCCGCTCGGCGACATCCCACTTTTTTTCCATGACATCGTCATCGGGTCTTACCTACGGCCGTTGCGAANATCACCCTGGCCATGATGGACCCGCCCCGGCTATTTATAACATGGATCAGGTGATCCGATGCATCACAATTGGTTGTTTCTCATTATAATACCGTATCTATTGAGCGTTGATTTTGAGAGGTAGGATCAGCTCCATTGGTTGGTCTGGATCTTGTGCTAGAGGCGTAATCGATCTCTGGGCTATGTGGGCGTTAGTGCGCCTTACAGTACTGCGCCATGTTTGTCCTCCGTTTCCATAGTGCGCCATAGCACTAAGAACAGCCTACCAATAAGGAACTTCAAGAGGTTTTGATGAACAGCGACAAATTTGTATAAGGCATTCTTACCCATTCTATTGGTCTTCAGTTCAGAACTGATCATAATGCCTGTTCACGAGTATGCTCGTATTCGACTAAAGTTTGGTACCGGATCGGATTTCACTCAATCAAAGCGGATTTACCTACATGGATTAGTCTTGTTACTTTTGTGATAAAAGGACGCTCACTGTCCATTTCAGCTCACTCGCTGTATACTCTCCAAATACTCTTTTTCTGTTGTATACCATGATGTTTTGTTTTGTCATGATGTTCTTTTGACAGCTTCGTTTTTTTTNTTTTTTTTGTAGCTGCCTCTTTGCTACCTATTTTGTGAACCTTTTTGATTTCTTTTGACTGTACTCACCTTTTGCGCTACAGTGATTTCTGTTTATAGTTGGCGATGACTTACGATAGCAAAAGTTCATCCACTACAACTGAAGTCAGAAATATGATCTCATTTTGGTGAGTGTTTTGCTCAACTTTAATTATAGTGTTATTTATATTATATATGGTTGACTATTGAAAACGGTAAAAATATTCGATTGTAAGTGTAATATCAAGCCACTCAGATCCTTCTCCCACAGGGTAAACAACTTTGACTCAAGCTTTTCCCATGTAATAGCTTTGCTCGAGCAAAAATCACTCAGAATGAGCTTCAAGATGGGATTAGACCCGACCTGGTTACCTGATACTTACCCCTGGCTTACATTGTCTCAGACTCCCATGGTTTGCCGAAAGGCTGCGGTTGGTCGGAATAAGGAATGCTTACTGTGTGGGACTGAGCCCCACCAGGTGGTTCGCAAACAGAAGCGCATCTTGTCGCATCAAGCAGCTTGTAGAAGCTGATTAGCACCTACAAAAAACCTTGACCGGGACTTCAAGTGAATCGAGAAAGCAGAAATTATTCTTGAGCTGCTGTCGGTGAGGCCCCTTCTCTGCATTCTACTCAGCCAAAAAATTTCAATTGCAAAAAACTCCTTTCGAATGCGTAAATTCCTCCGAGAAACCATTCCTTTCAGGATATTCGGTTTGTGCAATAATTTCACGTTCAGTGCAATGTTAAGCGCTGCTCAGGATATACTTAATCGGAAGGAGCGGTCACCATTCGTGCAAAATGTGACAGATGTATGCGTGGTAAGTTTCGCTCTGATCAAATTCAGTGTTACCGAATTCATCTCAGACTCTCCACCCATTACCTTCCTATCCATATGGGAAACTCTAGCCTAAAATACCCATTACAGCTGTGGTCAGGGGTTCCTTCGAGGGGACCCTCTTGAGAAGAAGACAGTCTGAAGAAGAGTAGTAGTAGTGCAGGCCTCTGAGATCACAAGAAGTCGAACGAACTATGTACGTGGTAACCCCCGGAAAGTAGGCAGATGACTAGCTACCTGTGTGACTGTAGCAGGGAGAAATGAATGGACCTTTATTTCTCCCCATTACAAGTGAATGTTAAACACCCATCAGATTCCAGGAGCATAGATATAAAGCTCTTCAACCTCTTTAATATCATCTTCATTATTCTAGCCAGAAATCACATCTCGAATCTGTTCACCGACATCTGCTGGTGTTGTTTTATTGTGCAACATCGTTCCGGCATTAATGGTGAAGCTGATGTGCCCATTTGTCATGCATCGGATACCTTATGGGTGAGTGGAGTTTTGAACTTCAAAATAGACCAGATGAAAAGGTAAGTGTTTATTAGTTGATTACGTTCTTGTTTGACTATTTATTTGTCTATATATTCAACCTAGAAAGAGCAATTCAGCTCGGATAGTTAAGCGATCTAACAATGAAGCATTTGAACTAATTTTCAGGATTCGACACTTCGTCATCTGTACCCTCCAAGCGACGTCCTTGTTGCTGACGGCGTTTGCAGAATCCGTGCCTGCAGCTCTTGTCGGTGTCTGCGTGGCTTCTCTTGCTGGAGGATTCGGTGAGACCACGTATCTCGGCCTTGCTGGTCACTATTCAAAGTAAGTCTTCCGTACAACCAAAGCTCCGACCGATATGACGATTCCTGGAAGAAGGTTCATAAAAAGGACAACCTTCAGGCATACGATAGCCACATGGTCATCTGGGACTGGTATGGCAGGTCTGGCTGGGGCATTCTCGTATGCTGGTATGACCGATGCACGACTACTGGCCCTCACATCCACCCAAGCAATGCTTGTCATGCTCGTCGTACCGGCCATGTTCGCATTTACGTTAGTTTTTTTCGTACTTCTGTATAGATAACTACTTCGTCTGTATACTTTTGCTATGTAGCATATCTGAGTATTGTGTACCTGAGTGCTACCGGGAACCTTCTACTCCCTTTCATGCATAAGATAATGCCTCCTTTGCAAATTCACCCATTGAAGCGTCTCTATGCAGTTATTACGTTCTTATTTTCAGCTACTACATTGTTCTCGTTCGAGCCCCTACCATCCGGGAGATCAGCGTGGTTCGGCCAAGCGAGTGGTTTTCTAGCAGGTAGGCAGGTCACACTTAAATCCTGACCTTCTAGCGGGGAAGTCCATTTAAGGCTTTGGTAATATCCTCCCTGGTTCAGTATGTGATTATTCTACCTCACTGTCCCACGATACAGCCATGAATCCAACTTCGATTACCTAGCATATCGGTATTTTACAGCCAGTCTCTGGAGATAAAGGTTTCGCCAAGTACTACTGGTATCGACAAGCAGCTTTCTGCTCAGAGCGGCATTGTGGAACAACTGAAAATTGCCAAGGTATAAATAAGATTCAGTCTTCTTCATGCTCTTTTACAAACAGCTAATAATGAGAGTATTCGGGATGAAATGATGAATGAAATCCTTAATATTATCAAGAATAAAGAGTTGCTAACTATTTTCAGTTTCCTTTCATTTTCAGAGTTTACTCAAGTACATGGTGCCAATGTTCCTCGTCTATGTCGCCGAGTATCTCATAAATCAAGGCTTGGTAAGCTCATAGACATTACAGAACTTGCGAATTTTTCTGCCGAGGGTTCATTCAGTACAGCTGATGCCAGTAGAGACTGCGCTTCCCACCGAAGACGTGGTCCTATATAGCTCAAAACAACGTTTTCTTGTCATTTTTGAAAAAACTTCAACGTTATTGGGAATTCGTACTGCTACAAATCACTCATACGCTTTCCAGTTAGAGCTTACCATATTCGACTGCGCTCACGGTTATGGTACCAGTCCAGCAAGCCAATATCGATGGTATCAGGTAGGTTTTTCTTTTGCTTTCGAGCTTGTGGAAAATATTACGGGTGAGATACGGTGAATATCATGATTTTCAGGTGATGTATCAGACAGGTGTATTCATATCTCGTTCATCGTTAAAACTCATCCAATTCAACATGACGTTGATAGCATTGATGCCTTTACTCCAAGTAAGTCAACTGCCAGAATGGGCGACTGCACAAGCAGCTGCATAGCTTAGGAAACTGATTCTACAAAAAGGATCACATTAATCGAGCTTTTCACAAACTTACCATGCCCGTAGGAGCCGTACGCTTTGCTGGTTGCAACAATTCCATGTGGGGGTACTGCGCAAACTCTCCATCCAAATGCTTCTGGAACTGAGTGAAGTAGGGTCCATGGCGCATCTCAAGAACGATCCATCCCCTGTTTGAGTAGGCAAGGTTCCCTGAGGACGACGAACCAAGAGCGTTGCCCAACTGCAGTTTTGTCCGTCCGAGGACGGCATTTCAAAATTTCTACAATGCTCTGGCATTCTTCCTTCTTTACCTCAAAAAGGTCTATAAAAGACAAATGCGTGGTGGGTGAATGGATTTGTGTCAATCTTGCGTCGTACAACACGCTGCTTTCCAGAATAGAGACCATTGTTAATGGAGTTCAGTAGAAATTGTACATGGACATGTTCAGTCATGTCACAATGAGTTCGAGACCGCCTAAACGAGTCAGTGAAGACCTCAGAGTCAATATTACACGACTTGACATGCTTCACATGGCTCATCTTGTCAAAACAGGATAAATCTTTCATTGGATCGAATGGGGATATACCTTGTAACCGATTTGGAGGTGGGAAATAACGCCCAAGCGGCGTGCCGCGCCCACCGCACCGGCAGATGTTCTTGAAACTTACTGGTCGATTGGAGCGCGCAATATAAGGATCAGATATGATTGATTGCGGCGCGGTGTAAATGAATCCATAAGAGTTCAGGTATCCATTCAGTTTTGCTGGCTCGGTTCTAAACAACCTATATATAGTAACTTCTTTACTTTCAGTTGTTGAACACGATATTTCTGACGTTCAATGCGATATACGCATTCGTTCCAAGTTTTGGAATGGTTTGTGCAATGATACTATACGAAGGACTCATAGGTGGCGGATCTTATGTGAACACTTTTCACCACATCCATAGAAAGGTTAGATATCTACTAAACTTTCAGTCAGCAATTTTCATTGTCACTGTCAGAGTGTTGGTACCCAGAAGGGTAGGTAGCAGCTATAGATTCACTTCAACGGGTGCAAATTAATAACTAAACAGGCACAGTCAATGAACTAGGGAACCAGAGAGAGAGCAGAGAGTTGCAACTGGTATGCTTATTGGAAAGAGAGCGCACATGTACAGAAAAGACGTCTGGGCGGGAAGAGTTGCACTAATCATAGGTCAATGTGAAAATTGATTTGACGCGCAACGCACCGGCTGTTCAAATGACTATAAGCGTAGTGTCTTCTACTGAAATGAGAACCGAAATTTCGTGTAGATCTTCTGGCAATATTGGTTTCAGCAAGATTCATAAGAATACAAGCATTCGCTTCAGGTTGACCCCTCCATAAGGGAGTTCGCCTTGTCCACAGTATCCTTGGCGGACACGCTCGGCATTCTGGTAGCCGCTCTGAGCGCAATTCCACTACATAATGCCATTTGTTCAATGCAGTGGTATGGCTAGATGCTTCACAGGAATTGTATGGAAACAAGTATTGATCGATGTAGTCTTCTCTCGATCAATATCGATCTCCCATGTACATATCATTGATTTTTTCTCCACGGTGTCTTCACGATTTCTGAAGACCTTCTGAGTTAATGAGACTTTTCCCTGTTGTTTCTTTCGTGAAAGAACTATTTTCATCTGATGACTATTCTTTATCATCTCGGGTTATACATTTAAGTACTTAATAGTATATCGCTAAATTTGTATTAATGGTAGCCACTTTTCTGTTTGTTTTTTTTTTTGAGCGTTTTGTTTTAATAATTCCCTGAAAGGGTGAAGACTCTGGTCAAGTCAATCGTTGTACCAATTGGCGATTACAATAAATTTTGTTCCCTTTCGTTCTTAGGCAGAGGTGGTGTTGCGACAAGCGGCGCACTGTCACACACACATGTTTAGGGTTCGAATCCCGTATCGAACCTCGCCCAGGCCAAACAGGCGATTCATCGCTTCGGGGCCGTTTAATTAATATCAGATTCGTCCGGGAGGATAAAAGCACTCCCTCGTACATCACCCGCTTCAGATGAAGTGGTAGACGCTGCAAAAATGTGTTGATTATCAAAGAAGAGACAGATTTTCCATGATTTATTTGGGTAACAGCTAGCAACAAAATCAGTCTGGTACCTAAAGTGACCACCTCAGCCATTCTCATAAATAATAATAACATTCCAAACATTCTCATGTGCGCTACGAGCTATTGATCAATATGTATAGTTACAATGGGAAAGTAATCGTATTATTATATACCTAATATATGTGGAAATTGCACGATGCCAGTGAATCAGATGACACCTCAAAAATAGTGTAATGCTGCTCAATGTATCAAGGCAGAGAGGGTAGCTTGGTAGTCAGGAACAGGAAGTGCCATAAGTTGGGCACATCGCCGTGACACACGACAGTAATCGATCGCATCTTGTAGACCGTTTTAATAAATCGGCAAAGTAAACGGACTTATGAAATTTTCGAGGAAATGAAATCCACATAGGCTGTGGGTACTTGCCGTTATTTTATACAATTCCTCAATACAACTCTCAAATTTATACACAGCAGTCCTGTAAGAATACAAGACTTCAGAACAGGCCCTGTTGAAGAGAGAGGATGGAGTAGACCCTAACCAACAGTGCATAGTGAGTTACATAGATATGATGCTGGCCTTCAGAAAGGCCTTGAGCAAGCCCGTGCTCGACCCGAAGTTGAAATGCTGTTGTTGATTAGTCCATTTGGTCTAGTGATACCACTTCATGGCACAGATAGCATTGTGAATCGGGATAGAGGTAAGAGCTGCCAGCAAAATTCCAACCGAATCGGCCAACGAAACAGTCGACAGGGCGAAGGACCGAACTTCTGGGTCGATCTGAAAAAACTTTTTTACAAAAAAAAAAAACGTTTTTGTGAAAAAAATTCCTTCATGCTGTCCCAGGACCTAGGAAAGGAGGTGTCTAGGGAATGAAAGGCCGAATGACGACCATTTGGTCCTGATAGATTTATATGATCGATGCTGCGGCCATATGGTTTAAGCCTTAACACCTTCCTCTCCTCCCTCGCCGTTCCCATACCTGTCTACAGTAACTAATTACAATTCCCAGTAATTTCATCCCACTAGACCTTTCCCTAACCTTCCAGATCAAACACTCAATTTGTCTTCTGCGGAGAAAAGCCATTTTTAGATCCTATGTAATGTAATGCCAACTACAATTACCTTCTTGTGGATGTGATGGAATGTGTTCACATAAGATCCGCCTCCAATCAACCCTTCATAGAGGACGATAGCGCAGACAATTGCGAAGTTCGGTATGAACGCATAGATAGCGTTCAGCATGAAGAATGCCGTGTTGAGGAGCTGAAAATCAATGAGATCGATAACCATCTCGTATAGTCAACTATTAATTCCTACATATTCAAATTAAATTACCTGGAAAACAGGCATCAGACCGATACAAAGCATGTTCAATTGAACAACTTTAATCGATGAACGTGAGATGAATACGCCAACTTGATAAAGTACCTGAAACGATGATCAGCGTCTGGGTACTGTAGGATAGTAGTAAATGGGCTTCAGTCGAGTACTGCGACAATCTGTTCGTTCAATTTATGGTGAGACCTTTAGTCCTCCTACTACCTTAGAATGTAAAAAAGATTCTACATGAAAGTCCAAAAGTTCATACCTGATACCAGCGGTATTGCGATGCTGGGCTCGTGCCAAAACCATGTTTGCAATCGAACACCGTGAGCTCGAGCTGTTACAATTGGAATAAGTGAAATGTTCGAATGTGATAACTGAGATTTTTGCGAAATCATTTAATTTTACTTTTTAATTTACATTTCCCACTTTGACACTGCCTAACACTCGCCCTCAAAAGTTCTAGAGGCCTGGAAACATCCCCCGCAATAAGGAGACAACATTTATACCAACCCATCGCCGTGACATACATTACCCCACCATAAATATCATAACCATCAATTAAGCACCCTCGGGCAACCTGAACTTTAATAACTGAATTCTATAATTCCTATTGTCTAGAATCATGGGTTTTAGGTATGAAAGGAGCTTACCAATCCTTGATTGATCAGATATTCGGCGAAGTAGGTTAGGAACAGTGGTATCATGTATTTAAGAAGGCTCTGAAATTAATTACATGTATGAAGCTCGAGAAAATTAGAAATTTTTATAACATTGGTGAAAAACATGGCTATTTAGCAAATATATCGAAGGAGGCATACTGTCGTGAATGTGAAGAGCCTAGCGCAGCCGTTCAGAGGAACAATCAAGACAAGAGATTATTTGTATGGTGTCCCTTGTAAGTTGGAATCTCACCTTGACAGTGGACAATCGTTTCGCTAGAATTCTGTCCTCATCCGATTCAGCTGGAAGTGGGTCTCCTAGGGCGATTTGCTTATCTACAGGATTCCTAAAACCATTATATCTTCGGAAATATCAAAATAAAACGAGAATGAATAGCAATACAAAAACTCAGAAAAAAATTGTGAAGCTCACTTTATGGGTTTGCTGAATTTTCCTGGTTTTGTAAAACTAATTCTTTTCATCGTATCCGTATGTTCGAGTAGTGTATAGAAACTGCAAAGGCTGAGATTAAAATGATGAAATTTGAATTCATACAAACAGAAAGGAAAGCCATAGTTGGGAGTTGGAAGACGAGATATCTGGAGCCAGATGGTGTAAGTATATTCGAAAGGAAGGCCAGAAAAGCTAGGGTCACGAAATTTCCACCCGAACTCCCACAGCAGGCGTCAGGTTCTGTTGCGATTACCGTAATCTTCCGTTAACAACTTGGATCTCCCCCTTCACAGCGCGCGATTGCGCACGATCGCATGCGGCGAGCGCGGCACGCCGTACGGGCTGAAAAACCCACACCCTGTAAGCTATGAGGCTAAGAATGCCCATTTATCAGCTTAGGCTAGCCAGGGTGGGCGGGAAGGGAGGAGGGTGATGAATAGCTCGAAGGGAACGCCGCACACTGAGACTTTTGGCTGAGATTGCACCTGACGACCCCCATCTTATTACCAGACTTCAGCCCTTTCATTTTTTGTCATTGTTTCAGGATAATTTTTGACTGAACCCACGTGAACATGAAAATAGCCGGCACCACAAGCATAACCAGCATTGCTTGAGCAGGTGTGAGCGCTAGCAGCCGTTGATCCGTTAGACCAGCATAGGAGAACGCAGCCACCACTCCAGCCATACCAGTCCCAGATGACCATGTGGCGATTGTGTGCCTGAAATAACTCTCTTCTCCTACTCATTCACGATTGGCATTTTTCCTTCTTTCTTCGAGGATTTTTGACTGGCTACTTACTTCGAGTAATGCCCAGCCAATCCGAGGTAGGTGGTTTCACCGAGACCACTGGAAAACGACCCAAGACAAACTCCGCCCAATGCCACTGGTACGGAATCAGCAAATGCGGTAATGAAAAGCGATGATGCCTGAGCCACACAGACCGCAGTGTGCCGAACCCTGAAAGACAAAATACCCACAAGTGGAAGCTAGCAAGTTATCGATCTAGACCGCTACGCGAATGTTCGCGGAACGTTCTGATCGACTCGGGTATAATCACCATACCAATATGGAATCCGATGCATGACTAATGGGCAAAGCATTTTAACACATAGACCCGGAAGAATATTGCATATCAGGACAACTCCGGTTGATGTTGGTGAACAGATCCTGTAGACGATTTCCTCCTGAATGGAAAAATTTGGTAAATTCATTAGCATAGCTTTGGATCAATGTAATACTTATATGTTTACATATATGGCGCAATTATCGGCCATAATTACCGAGATTCACACAGGCCAGAGATAAGCCACTATTTAGAAAATCCTTAGCAAGTCTAATGCAGTTCTCTTTTCTCGGTTTGGGGATTTTCTCACATCACCGAAACATTAGCGCGAACTCACTGGAAGTCCATTGTTCTCTTCATTTTCTTAGAATGTTGAAAAGTAAGTCTCGGCCGGACCTAATGACTCACCACACATCGAGAATCCGTGACGTTGTCCTCGATTGGATCCTCGCCTTTATGTTTGTTGAGGATGTCCTGTGCTGCACTGAGCATCACACTATACGCGAAATTGTTGCATACGCCAAAGATCCTGAAAACGAGCGATTCTCTGGCACTGGCTTGTCCTGGGCAACTTGTCCTTTATTGTCTGTATCCATTCCAAAGACCTCGAGTCGGGGAAAACAAAGCAAAGTCCGCTTTTCTTACTGCGAACTGTGACCTGTGGGGCTGTCCTCACTCGAGTCGAAAAGATGTATGGTTAGTTTACGGATACTGATAGTTGGGTCGAACTTAGAACAGTACTTATGTCCTCTGTTGGCTGTAGGCGTCACTTCGAACATGCCCAAACGGGACAGCTAACCTTCTAAGATTGCTTTTCGGGATTGTGTTTGTTTAGCAACAGCTAACAAGGACCAAGCACGAAAATCCCATTCATACTGGTGGTCTACATCTGAGGAACCGAAAACTGCACACTAATCACTCAACTTACCAGAATGATAGCAAGTTCCTATATGAAAGGCTGTTCGGTTTAGTGGTGGTGGTCATCTTGACAGGTACCTATCCCAAAAGTTCTGAAATATGATCAAATTGAACTGGGAGATAGGACAGAAAGATAAAAAGGTCTGGATAAATCCAGAAGTGTGTGAAAACGCGAAGAAGAAAAAACGAAGACAAAAGGAATGATGTGAGAAAAGGATGGAGTGGCACTCGAGAATCAAGTTTCCAGTAAGCTATCATACAGACCATTTTAAGTTGATCGATTTCTGAATAGTTCCAAGGGAGGAGCGCTTTTCGATGTCCCAACCTCTACAGAAAAGTAATGAACCGGGTAGAAATCTCGGCATGTCTACGGTAAGAAAATCAGAGCTCACATTCGGAGTGGTTTCTATAAAAGTATGAACTTATATAGCCCTCACCTTTTTCAGAATTTTACTCACGAGACAGTGTGATAGACTCCGTGATGGATGAACTTCCAAAAAAGTAAAATCATGATGGGCAGTAGACAACAGTTAGAGGTGTTCTGACTTTACACTAAACTACCTTTGAAAGTTCACGCGAAAATACGACGCCCGAAGGTCACTTAACCCAGCCCTTTTCACTAGGTTTTTTTCATTTTCTCAGTTCTCGGAGCCGGTGACGAATGTCGCTGAAAAAATCCCTTACAGGGCGCCGTACAATTCGGTTCCGACCGAGTAAATGGGTAGAACTCCCCCTGGACACTTCGAGACATGAGGATGGATTGATAAGAAAGTAGTATGAAGTCAGACTAATAAAAAGAGAGTAGCCCGTAGTTTACATTAATAGAAGTACCAGAGGTAGAGCTGAGGAAGAGAGTGTCTACCTACAGACTCTCCCTCCCCGCCCCCGTTCTCCTCAGAGGTAAGGAAATCAAAGAATTTCGGACCAAGTGATCTTCAGAAAGGCTCATATGGTGCTCAGTGAGACGGCTTTGCAGAGAAACCATTCCGAGGCGCTTTATTTCGGTTTAAAGACGTCATATCACGGTGGCAGGACAGCCCCCGTAACCCATTTGGGAGTAATGTCACGGTGATAGTGCACCAAAACTAAATCGCCCGCACAAGTTTTGTATACATGTTGGTGTAAAAGTGTGACGGTTGATCTGAATAGCCGTTGACAACTGTATAGGTAAAGGGAGAAGTAAAGGTAATAACGAATGCTATCGCACTGAGGTGGAACGTATACACACATCGAAGACAAAAGCGCGACGCTAGCTGACGGTATGTCAAAGACAAAACAAAACTACAAAGCGATAAGGGCTTACCCATTGATAACTGTATATACACCTAGGCATCCTCCTCCGAGTGATACGATTGAGGAAAAATTTCTTAGAATGGCAGTGGGTCGGTATACGGTAGCCATTCTAGAGTTGCTTTGAGAAGTAACGAAAGGCAACCCTCTCTTACAGTACCCCAACAACCCGTTGACACCCTTAGTTATCAAAAATGCGTAGAGAACTAGAAGTTGCTTAGCTTGAGAGAATTCTAGGCTCAAAATTGAGGCTTACGTAAAGCAAGGGTCTTTAGAGTGTCCGAAGTGGCATCCCGATCATTAGGCCCAATAAATTCAATCATTTACCTATTAGAAGCACAGAAGATAGTATGAACGACTAAACCAAAAAGGGGTTCCAATGACAAGGTGTAGTGCCTTCCAGCAGAAGCGAGGTCAGAACGTCATTGGTCTGAGGGGTACAGAGGAAGACTAACCAGGGAACCTTCTGAGATCGAGAATGACCAACGGCAATCAAATGTCAAGTACCAAAGTGTAAAGTAGTAGCACTAGAGTTGCCCTTCGTCACTAATTTTTGACAGACATGGTGCTGAAGGGTGGCGTCAGAGTAAGTTACACTGTTAATCAGTTTTACCTAGAGTACAGCAGATTAATAGCCTCAGGAATGATCCTTTGTTGAATGAAGCGGAGGTAATGTAGTACGTAAGTTCGTTCTCAAAGTCCATGGGTTCCGATTCAGTTACCCAGGCACTTCTATAGAATCAACAAAAGTGACTTTTCAGCGCTAGGCTAATTGACGAGGGTATCAGAGAGGAAACGTGGACAGGAAAGATGAACATGCCTCCTAGAAGAACTCTCAGGAGATGAACATCACAGCAGGCATCAGAAAGACATTGAAATGGCTTGTTCTGATGCTTGACATAGAAACAGCCAGCCCACCAACTTTCAGAGGCGCTAGTCTAAACATGACTTGTAAGTTCAACCGTGCTGCTGCGTCTCAGATGCGAAATATTCCAAATTTGCGAAAATGAAAGCCAAAAATCGGAACAAAGCTGATTTTTAAATTCATATCGCAAGAGAATAGTGAAAGCACCAGCTGAGACAAGAATCAGTGGCGAAGAACTGTTAAGTGATCATAATGTCCACCTTGTTGCCTTCCCATTTACCGGTTTTCGAGATGATTTCGTAAGAAAGCGATAGAGCTGTTCTTTGTTGATCACACAGTGGGGTGACATCGATGCCCTTATTCCATAAATCACTTGGGCAACAAGTGACCAAAAGGAAATCTATCACAACATCAACACTGCCATTTCATCTGAATCGCAGGCTCTTGTCCACGTGAACAGTTTGTTCATCTGCTTACAAATAAGTAAATCACCATCTGCCACCATCAATTTCAAGTGGTCGAAACAGTTTCCCATCGAAGTCCACGCAGTTATTACGTGAAACCGAGTAAGCTTCTTCATTCGGGTAGCAGTTTTAAAAAAAGACTGCCCTGGTTCGTACTTATTGTTGGCTACGAAAAAAGTGGGGCTGGTAGTGAAGATACAAGATTCAGGTGATACGAACCAAAATGGCTCGACTCTAATTCGGTAATTCGGAAAACGGAATTTTTTGGAAAGGAACGAAAAAAACGCAAGCCTTAACGAATTTGGAGGAAAACAAATACATAAAATTGGCAGTTAATATGTTTAAAAGCGATGTGTTTATAGTTCCGAAGAGATCATAGTTCCGAGTACTTTGGACGATAAGATACTTCTATCAACCTACAGCCAGCTGACATAGATGAACCAACCGGTTGTGTTACCACGAGAAAGAAAAAACTCAGAAACAGTCATACACCTGGGAAGGAAGAGTTCTTAAGGTGCTTCAAAAAAGGCTTCAAAATGCGAATGAGATGTTGACTTGGGGGGCTCCAACAAGGATGTAACAATGACGTCTGTAGGTAGAAAACTCCACATTTCAAACAATGAATCTCGGCAAACTAGTTTGTTTGGCTTAATAGGGTGTGCTAAAAGACGGACCGTTCCACTTGTTGATTTATTACTGCATGGTCTTCAATAGAGCAAAGGTCCTTTGTGAAAAAAAACCGTACTAGTGTTTTCTGGATTCATCGATTCTCCATTGTTGACTTAGCCAATTTCTTTGATTTCCAGAAAGTAATTAATTATCAGAATCATACACAAAGCCAATATTGAGAGTAATTAAAAGCTTCCTTGCATCCATTTAGTAGCGACTGGAGGCGCCTCTGTCTGTTTATACAGTCTTCATAAAGAGACCCACCCATATGGAGCCCGAAAAAGTCTTCTAAGCGCTGAGTTATAATTGGTTTGCCCAATAAGGAAGTACTAACTAAGGCGAAAGGTATTGCTCTCTGTCATTCGATAAAAGACGGGGTTCTAGCCTCGAAGAGACTCAAATGTTTGAACGTCTCAAACGTACTATGACAGTTTAGTATAGTGTTCTTGTGTTCTTCCGATGTGTTTCCGCGCGGAACCAGCCCTCCGTCATCTTCGCTTTGATTCCTTGTCCTACTATGTAATCAAAAAGATTAGCTTTGAATTGCCTTACTCCATCTTTCATTGACAGGCTTACTCCCCTCGACTGATTATAACTGAGTGCCTTATCCCGAACAGTTACTCGCCCAGGATAACCGAGCCTTTCATCCTCCGGTGTCGATTAAATGGTATCAGATTCGTCTGGGAGAAAGAAAGCCCTAACTTGTACACCGTCTGGCCACCGGTAGTCACTGTATCGGCCACATACGCATTCAATACGCCACGACGATCCTGAATGGAAGTCGAATGCTGGGGCGCATCCCTCAAACGGGATGACACCCAAAAATTCATCCGTTGTCGTTTACTGTCGTCCAGAAACTAGTGAAATTATAAAATTCGAACTTCGATTCAAGGAGCAGTTGAAAATAAACAAAAGAATGATGAAAAGTAATGGTTCTTCAATATTGTTGGGCAACTAATTGATTCATCTGATATTACAGTTTCTGTTATTGTTATAGAGAGACATACGCTATTATATTTGAGCGATCGACACATTTGGTGTGAAAAAAGGTTTATTTGAAGAATCGATTTCTACTATCCGTGGATTTCCCCATTTAACTTTTGCTTCGCGAGATACCATGAATTTTTGGCCACGAACTGGCTACCGATAGAGGATCATGAATTGACAAGGTGCGCTGTGACAGTAGAAGAATTGAACTTGAGCCCATAAATACCGACGATTAATCTAGCCCAAGTACCGCTTCTTACTGGTTTTTGGGCTATACTTATTATACATTCTTTCTAAATTCGTCGTCATTACAGTAGCTCCCAGAGTTCTCAGAGCGCGTTTAAACTAGGCACATCGCTTCGAGTGAGAACTTCGGTCCGTGCACTTTCTATCACAGCCATAGTGCCGAGACAACCGGCATGCAGTATTGTAGTGGAGTGGTGTAAATTAGACTGTACAACTGCCAAACATGCCAGATTTTTGTCTTTCCCTTTGGCCAACCCAAGCCTAAAGTTGCTTCTCCTGGCTCCTGTCCAAGCTTTGACCACCCACCGTTTTAAGGTTAGCCTTGCTTTGTTATCCACAC